CTCTCTCTCTCTCTCGTCTCTCTCTCTCTCTCTCGTCTCTCTCCTCTCTCTCTCTCTCTCTCTCTCTCTCTCTCTCTCTCTCTCTCTCTCTCTCTCTCTCTCTCTCTCTCTCTCTCTCTCTCTCTCTCTCTCTCTCTCTCTCTCTCTCTCTCTCTCTCTCTCTCTCTCTCTCTCTCGCTCTCTCTCTCTCGCGCGCGCGCTCTCTCTCTCTCTCTTATCTATCTCTCTCTCTCTCTCTCGCCCTACGCCTGTCGCCTACGCAGTGCGAGTTTACGGGCTGATAATCACAAGCTCCGCCCCTCGCGTTGAGTGACGCATGACTCAACCGCCCTCCGTCGAGGTAGAAAGGTGGGCAAGGTCAGGAACGCTGGCTGCTGTGTAAGCAACGGCGGCGCCACAGTCGTAACCAGTTGTGGAGTGAGTATGGAAAGTGATTGACGAATGTTGCTCTGCTCGCTGTCTGCGAGAAAGCGTCGATTAATTTTGTCGCTTTACTAGTGTATCGTGAAGTGCGTAGCAGGGAATTAAGCGAACACGACGAATAAGGATACCTTTCGACGTGTACCGGTGAATTTTCGTAGAAATTTGACGTCTTCCAGTGCAATTATTTAATTAATATGGTGACACGTGTTGTACTGTGTGGCGTGATGGGTTTCCGATGAACAGCGCTAAGTTGCAGTGGCTATTCTGTATCATCTGACCTGTGATTTGTGATGAGAAATTGGAGAGAATCTGTATGCGGAATTGACGTACCGTTGTACGTACGTTGTCTTGCGTAGTTAACCGAAACTCTCGGTTTGTAAACAGGAAAGGTTACCCATATCAGGTAAGCGTGATTAATTTTATTTGTTAATGTTATTTATTTGTTTTTCTGGTTATTCTTCTTCTCGCAACCGTTTTTGCTCGCTGACTGGGCAGCATAATTTGCACATAGCTCCAGTAGCCTACTATCTATAGCTCCCGGTAATATTATTCCTGACCATAATCAATTGATCGTAACCATAACCATCAAGTCATAATTTATTTGCAACGAATTTTCACGAATAAATGCTAGGCTAATTGGGTTCAGTCATCTGTATACGTAATACGTACTGTATACGTAATAGTAATACAGTAATACATTCTGTATAACTAACTTGAACAGATATTTGCATCCTGCGTCGAAAAGACTACAAAACCTGTGCACAATCCCAGTTTGGGACACCGCAAATGTGTTTTCGCAAATGTCACCAATCCGGGTGCTAAAATTGAGACAAAACTTGCGTAGGACACGTGAAGACAATCTTGAGTAAAACTCGGCAGTCTTGCATACTGCCAAAATTTGTCCGGATCTTTCGTCCGATTAGGAGGGTTGCGCCCTTACAACCAAAACACAAAATGGCACGCAAAGGTTTCTTTGCCTCCTGTGTATATGCATGGCACTGGCTGAACATCAAGCGCATGTAGGTGAGCCTGTGCACCTAGGGTCAAGGCGTGAACGGTGCCTGCATAACATGATCTTCCCATGCAGAGATATGTTATCAAGAGCATATAAAGAAGGAGGGAGACCTTCTTTATATGCTCTTGATGTTATCATGCTATCCATATCACAGGCACTTGGAACGTTTCAATAATAAAATGATGGTAAATAAACCCGAAATGTATTTACTGCCAAAATCTTAATGTTTTGTTTACTTTCTTTCAACCTATTTAACCTATTCAACCTATATTCAACAAAAATATAACAAAACAAAAAACATTATTTTTGTTGTTTGGCATGCGTGCGGTGTACTTGCCTACTGTACTGTACTGTGTAATAGCGTAATAGCGACAGACAGCCGGCAGTTACTGTACGCGGGCTATAGTACTAGAGCTAGGGTAGACCTAGTCCGAGATTCCTCTGACCAATGCCCACACCGACGATTTTGGTGGATTTGGTGTGGGTTAGAGAAATATAGGCCTATGAATAGACCTAACCCACACCAAATCCACCAAAATCGTCGGTGCAACCATATGAGTGCAACGTACTGCATTCCGAAGATCTTTTCTGACTGTTATTTATACTACTTTAGTCATTGCTAGCAGAAAATTTTGTGCAAGTGTGAGCTTTTAAAATTGGGGTGGTGTCAGAATTAGCGAACTATTTATTTTTGTTTGCAGTTACACGTACAAGGTTCTGTAATTACTAGAGCATAGAGAAATAATCGCTTTCGTAGCCTATTGTACAAGAACTTAATACAGGTTTAATCAGACAAATAGTTTTAAGCGTGCGTTTTAGTTTTGATTTTTCAGGAAACAAGTTTGCGTAAATCACATATTATTTGATGCGTGCGCACACATGCAGGCACGCACAAACGCACGCAAATACATGACGTGCACTTCGTTAACACACACACACACACACACACACACACACACACACACACACACACACACACAGGTGGTGCGCGCGCGCGCGCGCGTCGTGTGTGTGTGTGTGTGTGTGTGTGTGTGTGTGTGTGTGTGTGTGTGTGTGTGTGTGTGTGCGTGTGTGTGTGTGTGTGTGTGTGTGTGTGTGTGCATGTGTGTGCGCGCGCGCGCGTGTGTGTGTATGTATGCGCTCGCTCGCTCGCTTGTCGGCTGGCCCCCGCGCGCGAGCAAGCTCATAGCGTGAAACACCAGCCCGATCGGTCGCCCGGCTACCCTGAACACCCCCGACTTCCCGTTACAGCCACTATGAAGCCGGCGTCGGCAGAGAGGGAGGAGAGGGAGAGAGGAGGGAAGGGAAGGGAGGGAGGAAGGGGAGAGAGGGAGGAAGGGGGAGGGAGGAAGGGAATGGCGAATGAGGAGGGGAGAGAGGAGGAATGTGGGGAGGGATGAACAAGAGAGAGCGAGAGAGAGAGAGAGAGAGAGAGAGAGAGAGAGAGAG